GATTTCACCCAGCCCTTTGTGCTACACTGCGATGCATCCCAGGAAGGATTGGGTGCGATACTGTATCAACGTCAGAATGGAAAGATGGTAGTGATAGCTTATGGGTCCAGAACACTAAGTGTCCCAGAGAAAAATTACCACATGCATTCTGGTAAGCTGGAATTTCTGGCGTTGAAATGGGCTGTTTGTGAGCGGTTCCGCCATTACTTGTACTATGCCCCGTCGTTTGTTGTCTACACGGATAACAATCCTCTGACCTATGTCCTCACCACCGCCAAACTGAATGCCACCGGGCACCGCTGGGTCGCAGAGCTTGCCGACTTTAACTTTTCCATAAAATACCGGCCAGGAAAAAAGAATGCAGATGCTGATGGTCTGTCACGCATGCCGTTGGACATCGACAAGTTTATGGAACAATGCACAGAACAAATGCAACCAGAAGTCCTTCAAGCTTCAGTGGAAGGAGTGGTAGTGGAGTGTGAAAATCCTTCACAAGGAACTGGGTACATTCACTTAAATGCCTTGAGTCTAGTGAGAGAGAGAGACCAAGGTGACCTGGGTCCACCACTGACCCCAGCCCAGATTCGAGAAGCTCAGGAGAATGACAGTATTATTGGGAAAGTCCTGAAGTTCAAGGAGAAAGATCAACGACCAGGTAGAGAGGCAGTAAAAGCGGAACATCCTGAGGTGGCGATCCTGTTAAAACAATGGGGTAAACTCTGTGTGGGTAAAGATGGAGTACTATATAGGAAAACCAGGAAAAGAGAACAGTTGCTCCTACCGAAATCTTACCATTCCCTGATCCTAAATGAGCTACACCAAAAGATGGGTCATCTGGGTGTGGAGAGAACCCTCTGCCTTATCCGAGAGCGCTTTTACTGGCCAAGAATGCAGAGAGATGTGGAGCACTTTGTCACCAAAGTATGCGAGTGTCTGAAAAAGAAAAAGCCAGTCAGAGAAACTCGAGCACCGTTAACCCCGATTCACACCACACATCCATTTGAAATGGTCTCAATCGACTTTCTTCATTTGGAGACCTGCAAGCAAGGTTTCGAATACATTCTTGTGGTGATGGATCACTTTACTAGATTTGCGCAGGCGTACGCAACCAGGGATAAATCCGCGAAGACGGTTGCAGAGAAACTTTTTAACGACTTTGCTTTAAAGTTTGGTTTCCCCTGTAAAATTCATCATGACTTGGGCAAAGAATTTGACAACAAATTGATGAAGAAACTGAAAGAACTCTGTGGAATTTGCGGATCACACACAACACCCTACCATCCACAAGGCAATGGACAAGTGGAGCGATTCAATCGCACTCTATTGTCCATGCTCCGTACACTTGCGGATGAGGAGAAAGTAGACTGGAAGAATTCCTTGGCTAAAGTGGTTCATGCCTACAATTGCACGAGAAGTGAAGCAACAGGGTTTGCGCCGTACTATTTATTGTATGGAAGATCCCCTCGCTTACCGATTGACATTCTTTTCAACCTGAAGACAGATGAAGTGTGTGGCACTTACCAGGACTATGTGTCTCGTTGGAAGGAAAGGATGGGAGAGGCATATCAAATTGCCGAAAAGACCGCTTCACAAGCAGCAGCCCGTGGGAAAAGTTACTACGATCAGAAGGCTCAAGGGAGAGATCTTCAGCCTGGTGACCGGGTCCTGATCCGCAATTTGACTCCTAGGGGGGGCCCTGGGAAGATACGTTCATACTGGGAAGATCAGGTATACGTGGTTAAGGAAAGGAAACACGCTGAAAGTCCGGTGTATGAGGTGAGACCTGAAAGCAAGAAGGGAAAAAGCCGTGTCATCCATAGGAATCTTCTCTTACCGTGTGACTTCCTGCCGCTGGAAAGGGAAAAATCTGATCGACTCCGCTCACAGAACACTCGAAATATGGATAAAGAGAGTAAGAGTGACAGAGACAAAAAGAGTCAGATTCCAGTAAACGCTGAAAGTGATTCAGAGGAGGAGTATGTTCTTACGGGTCAGTGGCATAAGGGGAATTGTTTGCCTCTTAACCCAAGAGCACTGCCCTTCAAGCCTCGAGATGAAACCCTTCAGAGCGAAGAGGATTTGCCCCTTCAGAGCGAAGAGGATTTGCCCCTTCAGAGCGAAGAGGATTTGCCCCTTCAGAGCGAAGAGGATTTGCCCCTTCCAAGTTGTTCTGTAGAAGGGGACTTGCCCCTAAACCTTGAGGAAAATGTTCCCTGCTCAAGTCATGGAGACATTGACAGTGACAATGGTGTAAATGACAGTGAGTGTGAGATGGACTCTCCAAAACCCCTGAGACTTTATCCAAAGCGACAGAGACAGAAATCAGTGGTATTCACGTATGATACCTTAGGCCAACCTTCTTTGGTCCAAAGGGACTGCTCGGTAGAAGTAAAGCAGTCGCCGGCACCAAGCGGTCATTTCTGGAGACCCTGGAGCATAGTTGAGAGTTGTTGACTCCTGATGAGAAATGGTTAAATTTGTTTCAAGTTATTTTGAAATGTCAGGAGACATTTGGTTTTGTGGGGGAGAGTGTGGCACTAGTGTAAATTAAAACAGAAACAGAAGACCCCCCCCAAAAAATTTGAGACTATTATACTTTTATATTCAGAGTAATCTATTCAGACTAAAATTCTGAATGCGCTTGAAGTGTGTCTTTGACTCCTGTTAGTGACATTGATAGATATCTGCAAGAATGACATGTACTCATAAGTATACTGGGTATATCTATTAGTCCAAACCACTAGGGGGAGCTCTTTTCAAGGTCTGCTCAAGAATGCATGTAATATAGCAGTTAACGCAGAGACGAGCAGATAACACACCGAATTGAGATGCTCCATGAATGACTAATTGTATACTGTTAAATCTGTCTTGCAGGTAAGATTGCTTGTGTCTATTGTGGGTCGGGGTGGTCCATGAGCAGTTATGTTTAGTGTTTGGGTATTTAGGATTTGTGTTCGGTAGGTTTTGAGCATGAAAACTATTCTTATTACCCGTGATAAGAGCGTGATCAGAAATGACGGCAATGAGAGCTCGTATGTGAAACAATAATTGGTATTGTACAATAGAGATGGAAAGAAAGTATGCACAGTAATTTTATTCAGCGGTTGTGTGATACTGACGGGTAAAATAATACTTAAAGTGACGCGAGTTCAGTAGCGCACATGGAGTTCGCGGGTGTCCGCCATTTTGAGCAAATTGTATGCAGCGGGGACATTAGAGTTAAGGGAAACTCAAACGAAGTGATTTGCTCATTAATAGTCTAAAAGGGTCGTGAAATGTGACATAAGAGAACATTAAAGTGTATTGTGTTATTTAGAGTAACAAGTCATGCTGGGAAAGGGAATGTATATACTTTGGAAAGTGTTTAACAGACAATTAAGGGGAAATGTATAGATTCAAATTAAGTTTAACAAGGGTTATTTGTTATTTTTGACATGGGGCAAGATAGACTGTACGTTCACATGTTTCATTTGCAAACTGTATGTTCAAGTGAATGTTAATTTAGGTTAGTGAGCAACAGGTAATGTTACAATGGGCAATTAGAAAATGTCATACTGGATTTGAGAATGTGTAATATAGCAGTTAACGCAGAGACGAGCAGATAACACACCGAATTGAGATGCTCCATGAATGACTAATTGTATACTGTTAAATCTGTCTTGCAGGATTGCATGCAAAAAGCCCCAATATTAAATGTGTTGCACCAGAAAAGACGTCTGATCCTTTCTAAATGTGTAACACAGACACTCGATTTGTATACTTTCTTTTTCAGAGTACTTACATTTTAATTATGTATTGGTATCAGGGCCTGAAGTAAATTTTTTCGGCCACCGGCCACTGTGGCAGGTGGATTTAAAAATTCACCCGCCACAGAGACTTTTTACCAGCCATTTTTTTTTTGCCTCATAAACGTAAAAAAAAAAAAAAAAAAAAAAAAAAAAAAACCCGGGAATTTCACAATATTGTTCTTTAACTTGTAAGAACACACATTTTAGTGCTGTCAAGTAATAATAACTCTAATAACATACATAAAAAAAAAATATTTTTATTCATTGATTTTGACAGACACACACACACACACAACATATATAGTATATACTCAACAGATAGACCTACCGCAGCTCGTAAACAAATCACACGCGGCTGTGTTGATGGCGGATTTAGTCACGTACAGGTCTTACTCTTAACAGCTTTTAGTTACAGCGTTCAGGAACGGTTAAATATGAACTAAATTAATAATGTTATTACTGATAAAATTACCGGGTACCGGACATTTTCTCACCGGTTCCCAACTCCCAACATGCACAGTTGCACACGCACACACATCTGTGCAACTGTCATTGTACTGTAACCTACAACAGCGACGCGTTACATTATCTCATCCCATCTCATCAACAGTTTAATACTCGCACACGTAGTCAGAAAAAGAGCCTCATCTTCTTTCTGATCGCATGAACGTTACGAAACAACAGTCGCTGTCATAAATCAGCCGCTCACGAACCTTGCCATTGCCGCCGATTGTTCACTTTGTATTAAAATGTCTTCTTTACTTTTCTTTTTCTCATCCCCATCTTTTTGTTGGCTGTTTGTTTTGTTTCAGCTGGCCTCTTTACCCCAGTAATGTGCCGCCACATTTTAGCTAAAGTCCACCGCAATAGCGGACTTCGTTGAAATGTAAAAATCCTAATGAATCACTCAATTCTCATTGGCTACCCGCCAATGTGGCAGGTAGATTGACAGTGTTACCCGCCAATAGCAAAATTCACCCGCATTTGGCAGGTGGTCGGGTGTTAATTTCAGGCCCTGATTGGTATACATAGACTGTTTAAACAAATTTGGGGAAAAGATTTTTATAAGATTTCTACCTACCCCACCTTTAATTCATTATGAGAATCCTGTTGTTTTAATGCATATTTCATAAGATGTGTTATCTTGACTTGAGCTTCAGTTATAGGATTGCATTATTAAAAAGATGACAATCATGTCAATGTTAGACTCACCAATCAGAGGGATTTTATCAGCTGTAGAGGGCAGTGTGTCACTAAGAATCAGCAGAAACACAGAAATAGACAGCAGTAAAGTCACTTTAAAGCTCAGCTTGTCTGATCCACTTGAGTCAATGAAGAAGGAGGCCACATCCAGCACAAGGAAGAAACATACTGGTAGGATAATGTTGGTGAAATACAGTAGAGGTCTCCTTTTAATTGTGATCTGCCATGAAGAGAAAACACATCAAAATGCACCAATCAAATAAAAAAAGGAAAGTTGACATTTTTACTGCAATCATGAGATTGACTGCACATTAAAAAAACAAATTCTCTGAATAATTTAGAAGTTACACTGTATGTGCAAAACCTTATGCTGATAACCCACATAGCCATATTTTGACGTCCCATATCAGGCCCACATCTGGTACATGTGGAATACTGATCTGGCCCACAGCGTAGAATGACGGTCCTTGGGTAACTTACTGCTGTTTGCCAGATCTGGACCACAACCCAGCTAACAGAATTTTGTTATAAGAACATTCTCTAGATATTCAGTGTTGGTTCTGGGAACGTGAAAAATGTCCAGTTTTCTTGATGTTAGAGGAACGTGTTTTAAAAGGCATAATGTTCCTCAAACATTCATTAAACGTTATTTTCGATTAAAAATTCAACATGACAGTAATGTTGATTTCTAACATTCCAAAAACATAAAATGTCCAGTTTTCTGAATGTTACTACACAGCAAAAACTCAAGAGTGTTAAAGACTCAAGAGTGTTAAAGTGTTAAAACTTGAGTGTTAAATAAACACTGAAGAGTGTTAAAGTTAATGTGCTATTTAAGTTATTGATTGAGTGATGACTGAGCATTATTGAAGACACCTGATGATAACAAGCAGAATCACTGAAGAAGAAAACTCAAATTTTAGTCAACATTATGTCGATCAGTGTTTGGTTTAGTTGGGCAGTTGACCTTTACATGTTTAACTTTAGGTTTTGTTTGGCTGCTGTACTTGAGTTATGACAGCCAGATGAACAAAGTGAAAAAGTAATCTCATGGTGTTGGTTTTGTTATAACATAATTGTTATTTCACAATCATATGATCTGAATCACTGAACTCAAGTAGTCCTAATCTCTGATTTGAATGTATATTAGTCATTACAGAATCAAAGTGATTTAACTGTAAAAGTTCCTGGTTGTTCAATATAAAGTTAATGATTTATCAAAAGTTGTTCTGATAAAAAAAAAAAAAAAAAAAACATTTTCTCAGGCACACATAGACACATAGATTCAATGTATGAATCTCCACAATGGTGACAAAAAGAATATTCGATTAGGACAAGAAGATCCGTAAGACAATTCAGATCATAATTTATTCATACCGCAATGTATGATGAGAGCTATGAATGAGTTTTGATTGGTGGCACCCAGAACGCACTGCAACATGCTTTATTATTGTCACCATTGTTGAGAATCACAGGCTGATTATTGATATCTGTGTGTCCAAACAAAATTCCATTTTCAGAACAACTTTAAATAAATATTTTGGATTATATTGAAAAATCAGGATTGTATGCTGTTAAATCACTTTGATTCTGTAATGACTAATACACATTCTTATCAGAGATTAGTACTACTTGAGTTCAGTGATTCAGATCATATGATTGTGAAATTATGATTATGTTATAACATAACCAACACCATTAGATCACTTTTTCTCTTTGTTCATCATGTCATAACTCATGTATGGCAGCCAAACAAAATCTAAAGTTAAACATGTAAAGGTCAACTGCCCAACTAAACCAAACACTGATCTCCATAATGTTGACTAAAATTTGAGTTTTCTTCTTCAGTGATTCTGCTTGTTATCATCAGGTGTCTTCAATAATGCTCAATCATCATTCAATCAATAACTTAAATAGCACATTAACTTTAACACTCTTCAGTGTTTAACACTGAAATTTTAACACTTTAACACTCATGAGTCTTTAACACTCTTGAGTTTTTGCTGTGTAGTAACATTCAGGAAACTGGACATTTTTATGTTCTTGGGATGTTAGAAATCAACATTACTATCATGTTGAATTTTTAATTGAAAATTACGTTTAAAGAATGTTTGAGGAACATTATACACAGCAAATTTCAGGAGTTGAAAAATCATGAGTTAGGCAAAAAAGTGTGAAAGAGTTAATTTTTTGGAGTTATTTTTTAAACTCTGACTACGGTTTGTGTTATTGGATACTCCCCGGCTGTGTTGTATTTTGGAGTTCATTCATTGGTGTTCAGGAGCGTGTTTTAACACTACACCTGGAGTTATTTTTGAGAAGTGCGCCACGACACGACCCTGCCGCTGCACAAAGGAATAATGGACTTACGCTTCGTCGTGAGGTAGGTAAAAGTGTAACTTATATAAAACTATTTAAAAAATATATTTTCTGACAAACACGTTTGGTCATCGCGTAGCTGTTACGTTACAGGCTAGTTACTGTTTACTAACGTCAACGACCATGACAAACTTGCTGTTGAACGCATGTTTAAATTACTTGTTTCAAATTTTGAAATGGCTATTTGCGTGGGTTTTTTGTCGATGTAAACGAGTTAACATTAGCTTACCGTCTTTCCATTCACCGTGTTTCTGAAAATGAGTGTTTTGCCGTGAAATTGATGCATCAATGCATTACAGGCAATTGAATTGTAACAGCTATGTAACGTTAGGCTATATTAGTGGTGACCCACGATGTGCGTGATTTTCAGCTTATATATTTTTGCATTCTCAATGAATGGTGCTAGATTATATTATTCCTCATGCTGTTGTTTTTGTGATCTTCAGACGACTGTCCTGCAGCAAGCGGTTGAAGGTTACTCCTCCTCAAGTCTGAACCAAATGGATTTGCTCAAATAAAGGCAGTAAATCAAGAGTATGGTGTCCAGTGTAGTAATTTCCACACAAAACATTATATTGTGTTAAATAAATGTTAACTCTAAGAAGTGTTAAACTAAACTGGTAACACTGGTAATGAGTTCATATAATTAATTTTAGAGTTACATTTACTCTCTGTAGGATTAGTATTTTAACTCCATTTTAACTCTGAAAAAAGTGTTAAAAATTCAACTCCAAGAGCAGAGTTATTTTAACTCTGCGGTGGAGTCTAATTGATGGTCTCACATGTACACTCAGATTGAGTTGATTTTAACTAACAGGGAGTTTATTCCAAAAACCAGAATTTGCTGTGTACCTTTTAAAACGCGTTCCTCTAACGCAGGGGTGTCAATTCAAACATACGGCCCGCGGGAACCGGAACCGGCCCGCCAGGGGGTTCAGTCCGGCCCGGGGATAAATCTGCAATATGAGAAAAAAAAAAACAAAAAAAAAACAACCTGAGCTTCAGTAATTGGCCTGTAAGTGGCATTTGGTTCTATCGTTTTACACGCGTTTCTGTTGCCTGGCACCCTCATCGGCAAAATGTCTTTGTTAAAAAAGAGAAAAGTAGACACAGAGTGTCGGATCTTTCAAGAAAAATGTACCTCTTCCTATATGTTCACGGAGGTGAATAGGAAACCGTTTGCCTTGTTTGCATGCAGCAAGTTTCGGTGCTTAAGGAATATAATATTCGGCGCCACTATGAAACTCAGCATGGCGAAAAATACAACAGCTTGCACGGAGAACTGAGACGACAGAAGGTAAATGAAATGTCGGTGAGTCTGAGGAAACAGCAATCTGTTTTCACCCGGAGCTGAGAGGCCAGTGATGCGGCCGTGAAAGCCAGCTACCTAATTGCTAGCAAAATAGCATTAGCATCAAAGCCGTACTGTGAGGGTGAGTTCGTCAAAACTTGCATGCTGAAGGCTGCCGAAATTGTTTGTCCTGAGAAGCGACAAGCTTTTGCCAATATTAGCTTGACGAGAAATACCGTGGCAGACAGGATTTCGGAACTATCGGCAGATTTGGACAGCCAACTGAAACGCAAAGTGGAGTCATTTCTGGCATTTTCTGTTGCAATTGATGAAAGTACTGATATTACGGATGTCGCTCAACTGGCCATATTCATTCGTGGTGTTGACGAGACTTTGACTGTCACTGAGGAGTTTCTTGAGTTGGTGCCTATGACCGACACCACAACAGCTGAAGACATTTTCCGCTCCGTCGTTGGAGCGCTGGACAGAGTCGGGGCGGACTGGTCCCGTGCCGTAAGCCTGGCTACAGATGGTCAGCATACGTGCATTCAAGTTAAAGCTCACGTTACGGGAGACGCAGCTGGCAAGCGGTGACCCTGCTCATTTCCCCTGTCTAAGAGATGTGTGCGCAGCAAGCGTTAATCCTGACATGAGACAGTACAAAGACACGATTTCAGGGTTGCTGAAGGAGTCTGAGAAACGATATCAGGTCTTTAGCGAACTCGAGACAGAATTCGCAGTTTTTCGCTCACCATTCACAGTCAGAGCTTCTGATGTGCCTGTTGACATGCAACTTGAAATAATTGATTTGCAGTGTAATGTAGAATTGAAGGACAAATTTGCCTCTGTGGGCTTGGACACATTTTATCAGTATCTCCTGCCAGGCTATCCTAAATTAACAGCACTGGCTGCAAAAATGTTGTGCATGTTTGGGACTACCTACCTGTGTGAGCAAGTGTTCTCAGTAATGAACATTAATAAAACGAAGCTGCGCTCAAAGCTCACACATAAGCACTTAAATGAGATTCTGAAATTGGCTGCTACTCAGGATATAATGCCTGATATTGATGCACTTGTGCAGGCTAAAAGATGCCAAGTTTCAGGGACAAACACAGAGCAAGATTAAATCCTATGGAATGCTGCAAATAAACATGTGAAATTAATATTTGCTGTAGTAATTGTTGTAGTCAGTGCTAGTCAGCAACAAATTTACTACAAAAGGCTTTTGTAGAGTAAAATATTATTTCTTATGCATACCATATGTATGTGAGTTTTTTTTATAACATGTTATGCATTAACAAGGCATTTAATTTTCTTTTTAATCAATTTTCTGTTTTAAACAGTTGCCACTTAATGGATTAGTTCACTTTTGAAAAAACTTTAGCTGATAATTTACTCACCCCCATGTCATCCAAGATGTCCATGTCTTTCTTTCCTCAGTCGAAAAGAAATTTAGGTTTTTGATGAAAACATTCCAGGATTTTTCTCCATATAATGGACTTCAATGGGAACCGGATGGTTCAAGGTCCAAAAGATAGTGTTAATAACAGTTACAGATGCAGCTTCAAATGTCTTTAAACGACACCAGACGATGAATAAGGGTCTTATCATGCGAAACGATCGGTTATTTCAAAGCTCATTCCAAAAATGTAACTTTTCTAAGGACAAATGCTAGCCTTGCTCTATTCTGTGAGGCGCGTTTGCAACGTCACGTATTACGTAATTACGTTCAAAAGGTCACGGGCGACGTAGCCAGAAGTACAGAGTCAGAGTGTTTACAAGTTGAACGCATAGGTTGAACGTGCAAACTAACTCAAACGCCGTTTACAAAAAAGGAATTAAACGGTAAAACAACGATGTCGGACGATTTTGATTCTGTACTTCCGGCTACGTCGCCCGTGACCTTTTGAACGTAATTACGTATTACGTGACGTTGCAAACGCGCCTCACAGAATAGAGCAAGGCTAGCATTTGTCTTTAGAAAAGTTACATTTTTGGAATAAGCATTGAAATAACCGATCGTTTCGCATGATAAGACCCTTATTCATCGTCTGGTGTCGTTTAAAGACATTTGAAGCTGCATCTGAAACTGTTATTAACACTATCTTTTGGACCTTGAACCATCCGGTTCCCATTGAAGTCCATTATATGGAGAAAAATCCTGGAATGTTTTCATCAAAAACCTACATTTCTTTTCGACTGAGGAAAGAAAGACATGGACATCTTGGATGACATGGGGGTGAGTAAATTATCAGTAAAAGTTTTTTCAAAAGTGAACTACTCCTTTAAGATTTTAAGTGTGTGGAGTCAATTCATGTGTTCAGAATTGCTTCCCAGAATTGGAAAATGCATTTTAAATAATTTCTATATTTTGATGTGTTTGATTTGTTAACATGCAGGACAGTGTTTTTAAGTCCACAAAACTGTGTCACTAAATGTTTTGCGACATTGTACTGTGAGATTTTATACATAATGCACTTTAATAAATGTTAGTTAAACTAAGTAATAGTGTTGTTGAAATTGCACATATTTTTCTTAAAAACTCTTAGGTTGTTCATAATATATTTTGTAGAAGAACAATTCATTTAATATAAAGATTTTTATAATTTACTACTTTGCACCAAAAAAGAGGACTTATTGTTAGTTACGTAATTTTGCTATGAGTTTACTGGTCTGGCCCCCTTGAGATCAGATTAAGCTGTATGCGGCCCCCAGACCAAAATGAGTTTGACACCCCTGCCTAACGTCAAGAAAACTGGACATTTTTCATGTTCCCAGAGCCAACACTGAATATTTAGAGAACGTTCGTATAACAAAATTCTGTTAGCTGGGCTTAAGCCTGTTAACAAGCAGAATCACTGAAGAAAAAAAAAGATGATGTGCTGAATGTGAAGAGCCATGTCTCTGGAACCAATTTATAGGTGATTTGTAGGCTAATGATCATAAATATGTCTGAAAAAATAACAAGGCATTTTAATTGTTTATTAATAAATTAGTGTAGCCCTATGGGAATTTGAAGCGACTAGGAGGCGCTACATTAGTGTTTTCTAAATCAGTGTCGGCTAAAAACATATCTCCATCTCCCCTATAAAGTGGATGTGCCTTTAGAGAGAAATGCAACTTTCATACGGATTACAATCAGACGGTATTTGCTTTCGATTCGAATTTGTTCGTTTAAAAGCGGACATTTCAAGCTTATAGGTAGGCTTGTTTGTGTTCATTAATGATGAAATTTCATTAATCATGAAAGCACACCTGATTGTTTTCTTTTATTTTACAAAAGCACAACGTTTTCTTGATATTGTGAGTTTACACAAACAAAATAATTTTTCTGTATGACCAGAAATGATAGAGTATTTGAAGTTGTTTCCACTGTTGATAGGAAAATGCAAGTGTCCACGCCCACGACCTCCGTGCCATGCAGTGCACACTTCTACACACTTGGATATGCATAAAAATCTAATGTTTATTTGTGATAATCTTGGCTCTGTATTATTATTGTCTTATTATTATTGTATTATTAACTTGTATAATGACTGACATTTGACGAATTGCTATGTTCTTGTTGTTGTTGTTTTGTTTGTTTTTTTTTTTTTTGGGGGGGGGGGGGGATAAAAGCATCTTCAAAATATGTATCCTAAATAGCCTAAAAATGGCTTTATCACTATAAATGAGTTGACTGAATACAGTAATATGTTTGCCATAAAACAATTTATGAATGGTTTATTTTTATATAACCTATTCTTGTGTTTGTGTTATATTTTCTTTTTATATGTGAAAACTTTTCTTGCTTATTCTATTATACTGAGCTTTTCCTCCCCCCAAAAATGACTGGTTATGACCAATGACCAAAAATTATGTTAATGCTGTTTTTTTATATAAAAAATTAAGAAATTATCCTTTTAAAAAATGAACACAAGCTAAACACGAGTCATGGTTGAATCGTACGGCACAGACTATTTCCAGGGGAAGAACTACAAATCCGTGGGTACAGATTGCAGAAACTGAAAGCACAATTTGTTAAATTGAGCCATCAAGTTAATAATTCCCCAGGCACCTAATACATCAAACAGCACTAGAAAATTAGTTATGAAGAAATTTTAAATTCACCATTCTCTGAAAAATAATGATTAATGGCTTTACATTGGCACATACAGCCATCAAGAATCAGCCAATGAATCTCAACAAGGTTGACAATCAACAAAAAAGATAACATCAAATCTCTGAACATCACAAAACACACTACTTAAAGTCAACACAAAACCAACAGCAAAATTAAAAGCAAAAAGTACACATTAAAGAAAATGACCAGACCTGTCAGCTGCAAACTTTATTAATCCTGCAATGCATGCTGGGAGTCATGGCTGAATTTTTTTTTTTTTTTACTATGCTGGTACCCAATATGCATTGCTTATGATTGTCCCCATTGTTGAGATTCATACACCAATTCTTGATGATAATATAAGGGATCAGTGACACTTGATAATTGTGACTATTCACAAGCAGCATTTGTCATCAGATCCTGAGTGAGAATAGGGTGTGATTTTGAACACAGCCTCTGCTAATTCATAGTATATTCCTGTAGGCTACTTAAAAGTGTGCTTGTGCTCTATACCTGATATATCAGCTGATCCATGTCATATTTATACCACGCATTGATGGTTTCAGCTCTAGAGATATTTATGTCGAGGAGCTCCCACTCTCCCTGGGCATCAAAGGCGTCCCTGGAGTCCTCTGTAACGGTGGGTGCATTTTTGAGTGGATATATTAGAAGATTTGTTTCTTTGGGAACAAACATAAACATTGTATTATTTATTATGAAGTGAAATGATTCAAAATAATTTATGTTTCATTAATTTATGTGTTTGGCCTGATTCATGGTTTTCAGATGTACTTGTATGCGTTGGAGACTGAAGTGTTATACTGCATTTTTGGAGGTCGAAGGGAAACCTGAAGAGATCCATCCTACAGGCTGTGGTTAGAGCTAAAACATCTGTTGTGACTAAAAAGCCCCATTTTTGCACCTGCACATATGGTGACTCCTTTGTTCCAAACTCTGTCTTGATGCTAGATGGATAAAAAAAAAAAGTTTATACTTATGGAATATTAAAGACAAGATTACTTAAAATAAAACCAAACCTGCATGCTACTGAAGGTTGGTAATGTGATTAAAAAGACCCCAAAAGGTCATTGTGATGTTCATCTGGAATAACTAGAGAAGTATGATTAACTCTTCAGAACCTGAAGCTAAAATAGGGGGTTTTCACATATTTAGATTTTAGAAAAAAATTCTAAAACAATATGCTATCTTCATGTGCAAGGTATCAACTTTTTCAGAAAAAGATTAAGTTTCAGCAAATTACAGTTATTGACCATTATTGTGTGACGTGAGTTTATAAATAGAATTTAAATAGAGAAAAATAAACAAGAATACATTTTCAAATTTGTAATATAAATTAAAAAAAAAAAATCCCACAGTAAAATCGCAGGCGTTAAATTAACACTGCTCAGTGTTTATATGAGTCCATACTCAGGCCCTGTTTACACGAGAACGCTTGCGGGTGAAAACGTAAAAATATTTTATTGGATGGGCCTTTGTTTACACGGCGACGGCGTGTTTGGGGCTTAAAAATGCAAAAAAAGCGGACTTGGTGTTGTAATATGCACTCCTAGCCGCCTGAAGTGCATACTACATTGAATTTCACACACTTTTGCGTCACCATTTGCATGTCTAAACGTTATTCTGCGTTTGGACGAGCGGTTTTGGTGGGAAATCCGTGTGAAAATGGTGATGCAAAAGAGTGTGAAATTCAAAGGAGTATGCACTTCAGGCGGCTAGGTGGCAACGTGAAGCGCTGCCACACAACAACACCAAGTCCACGCGCCTGCGTACAACCTTCACTGTCAAGCAGACTTTTGCATTTTTACTGTTTACGCGGGAACGCGACGGTGGAGCGTTTTTAAGATTTCCACTCTGGAGGGTGGTTTCACTTTTTTTGCATTTTTAAGCCCCAAAAACGCCGTCGCCGTGTAAACGAAAGGCACATCCGATAAAATATTTTTACGTTTTCACCCGCGAGTGTTCTCGTGTAAACAAGGCCTGAGCAGTGGTAATTTAATACCGGGGACTGTGCTGAGTAGTATTTTATACATAGACCAGATTTTATCACATGCAAAATTTAAATTTGCACAATTTAATTTAAATGTGAACACAACCTCTGAAATGCTATTATTTATAATATGTAAGGATTTTGGCCAGGCGAATCAAATCCCCCCCCCACCCCCAGGGGTTTTCTGAAACACACACACACACACACACACACACACACACACACACACACACACACACACACACACACACACACACACAAGCCCTTCCCTTCCCCCATGTGTGGAATGTCTCTGAACAAAGAGAAGGACTTTTGGTGTTTAAAGACATTCAACTAAATGTTTTCAATGGTTTTTATGTATATGTGTCTTCCCCGTGTCACAGTGAAATAACTTTGTTTGGTCACAGCGTAAATAGAAATTAGAAATATCCTCTTCATGCATTTTAAACATACGTGTATATTCCTTTGATATAACATAATGTTCCTTGATATCTCTAGAATGCTTATTGAATGAAACACTCGAAAATGCATAGAGATGTAAAGTAAAGTGTATTTTTGATTTGTTTTACTGCCAATGAAGATCAAATTGTTTACTATAAAACCCTCATTGAACACACCCCCTTCCACGGTGAGCGCTCGCTGAGGAACGGACAATAAACCAAGAGTTCCCGTGAGCTACGTCCATCTCCCCGATTGGCTCAAGCCAACAGGAAAGGGATGGATTCCGCCAAGGGGATAAAGGAGTGCGCAGGGTCCGCCTCTTCCCTTCTTCGTCTGACCCCCCTCAGAGAAACATGTAATGCTTTCGAGATCTCCTCACGGAGATCTGATCCGACCATGGATCTTTTCTTTTGTTCGTCTAAAAGTCTCGTCTTTTCTTGAAATGGACTACAAAGTTCGTCTCACAGGAAAGGAAGTGGACTTTGCTGAACTATTTCCTCGGGTAACGTCACCTCAAAGACTTTAAGCCTCTCAAACACTCGCGCTAAATGCCAATGAAAGCCACGTGACTCCCCACGGAACAAAGCAGCCATGAACGAGCCGGGACGGGCCGCGCAAACACGCCGCGGCCGCGCTTCACGTGACGCACGCGCGCAGGACAGGCGCACCTCCAGTCGACACGTGGCCCGAACGGGCCGAGCAACCAGCCCGCGACTCACACAGACCAAATGTGCCCTGCAAGTATACCTTCTTTTAGAGCTTCTAAGAAGCATTTAGAAAGTGTATTCGTGGTGTTCAGAAAGGTTAACTGACTGTTTTGGGGAACGTAACACACTCTCTCTCACTTGCTCTACAACTCACTCTATCTCACTCTCTCTCTCTCTCTCTCTCTCTCTCTCTGTGCGCATGCGTGAGCGTCTGAGCTGAACGAGTGTGGAGTGCGAGAGCGCTGGCCTGCGGGCTGTGTGAGTTTTCTAACTTTTCTTCTTTCTTTGGCAAAGTTGTTGGTGTATTTGTGGAGGTTTTTTTGGAATCAGGGAGAGTAGGTCGCTGTTGCTCAGCGTGTGCTGTCCGAAATGGCAGCAGCATCGGAGAGCGTACAGTTTGACAAGCTAACGCGGAGGAATGGCATTAAAATCACGCCCGCGGAACGCTGTTCTATAGAAGACTGCAGCATAGCAGTTGCTCAAGTTGTGGGGTATAAGAGTATTTTGTCAGCATCTAGGATGAACAGTGCATTTGTTTTTTTCCTAGATGACGTGAACAAAGTAAATGAAATAGTCGCGAGTGGAATTGTGTTGAATGAGTCGTACACACCAGTGATGCCTTTGATGCAACCGGCGAAAAAGATTTTGTTGTCGAATGTTCCACCTTTTATAAAGGACGAAGTGATCCAAAGGGAATTGGTCAGGCACGGAAAAATTGTTTCACAGTTTAAAAAAATCGCATTAAATTGCAAATCGGCACAGTTGAAGCATGTTGTTTCTTTCCGGCGGCAGGTGTACATGATTCTGAACAATGAGAGTGCGGAGCTGAATCTCGCGATGAAGTTTAGAATTGATGATTTTGACTATGTCATTTACGCTACATCAGAGACAATGAAATGTTTTAAATGTGGACAAGGAGGACATCTTGCGCGTTCGTGTCCTGAGAATGTGGAACATGATCCAGGACAGAATAACATTGAAAGTGAGGGACAGAAAGATAATGTGGAGGATGAAAATCAGGAAAAAGGTGGAGAAGTGCTAGAGAATGGTGAACAAACTAATCAAACAAAAATTGTAAGCAGGAGTAATGAGGAAACAGTAGGAGAAAGGGAGTTTGAAAGAGCAAATGATGCTGCTGGCCCTGTAGATGTCTCAAGAGATATTGATATGACGGAGGATGACAGTCTGTTTAAAACACCGACTTTAAAGAGAAAAACAAGTGGAAAAAGTAGAGGGAAAAAAGCTAAGAAGGAGCAGGTTCAGGAAGAACAGACAGAGGAAAAGATGGTTCAAGAAACAATGCCTAACACTGAATAGAGTAACTCAGATGATTCAGTATCAGGAAGTGAGTGTGAATCTGTAAGTTCAGTTGACTCGGTGTCTCTGAGAAGATCTGGGAGGAGTGCTTACACCCTTGAAAAAATTAAAGCTTTTTTGCAGAGTACAAAAGGCATGAAGGGAGTTCAAGTACTAGAGTTTTTTCCAGATCGTGAGTTGTTTATAGAGTCTGCAAAGATGTCAATGAAAGAAATTGGGTTGGGGGGTCTCACAGAGCAAGAAGTATACAGGTTAAAGAAAATAGTTCATAAAGTGAGATCCAATATGGTAAATGATGAAAAGGAGGTGTTTTAATTTTTCCTTTTTCTTTGTTAAGTTCTTGTTTTTGTTTTGCTCAGTCTCTTTTTTTTCTCATTTATTTATGAGTAATTTAAGGATGGGCAGCCTGAACGTGAATGGTGCAAGGGATTTTAGGAAAAGAGCAATACTTTATGAATTGGTGAGACAGAAAAAAATTGATGTTATGTTTCTTCAAGAAGTACATAGTGATATAAAAAATGAAAGTGAATGGATGATGGAATGGGAAGGAAAGGTGATAATGAGCCATAAGACTACCACTAGTGGAGGTGTAGCAATCTTACTCAGAAATAATATCAATCCAGTCTCGTGTGAAGTAGAGCATGTAGTCGGGGGACAGTGTTTGAAAGTACGGCTTGAGTTTGAACAATTTTCTGTTGTATTTATAAATGTGTATGCACCAGTTTTGGGCCCTGAAAGAGTGTTGTTTTTAAACAAAGTTAGAGATACTGTAAGAAGTTGTAAACCTGAAGAGTTTTTATTTCTAGGGGGTGATTTTAATTGTACGGAAGATGATAAAATTGATAGAAATCACAAAGAACCACACATGCCTTCACAGTGTGTTTTAAAACAAATTCTGAAAGAATGTGAACTGTATGACATATGGAGGGTGTTGAATAAAACACAGAGACAGTACACATGGACACAAGTGAGGGAACGTTATGTGACAATGGCTAGACTAGACAGGTGGTATTGTTTTAAACATCATCTTAATATTATTAAACAATGTGCAATTTCTCCTGTAGGCTTTTCAGATCATGGTTTAGTCAGTTGTAATGTTTTTATCACTAATGTAAAGCCAAAAAGTGCTTATTGGCATTTTAATACGGTTCTTTTACAAGATAATTTTTTTCTTGAGGTGTTTGGTCATTTTTGGCAACAGTTTAGGAATAAGAGGTCATTATTTGATTCTTTGCAACAATGGTGGGATATTGCAAAAATAGAGATACAGCAACTGTGCCGTATGTATACTTTCAATGCTTCGAGAGACATTTCCCGATCTCTAAAGGATCTAGAGAAAGAGATAGTTGAAATGCAAAATTTAATTGAATCTGTTAGAGACAGAGAATG